GATTATTTTCTGTTTCTCTCAGCATAACATGTTATTGAAAACTTAATGTTCTTGAATACAAGAATGTTTTACCTTATGAAATGGGCTCTGTCATAAATTGTTTAAAAACAATAAATAATATTTACAAAAAAATTGATAGAAAAAAACTTAAAATTTAAGTTAGAATTAAATCAATGAAAGGATTATCAACAAATGAAATTCAAAATTATCTCGAAGATACTACATTTCTAAGTGATTGTATGAAAAGTTTACACCAATACACTAATACTATTTTTACATTATTTCAACAACTTCATACTGAAATGGCTAGTTTTTCAAGTAAATTACAAGAAATGGGAAATATGAGAGGAATAATGAGTACCAATCGATTAAAAACAAGAATGTTAGAACCCTTATTAACTTTTGCACAAACACAACAACAATTATCAGAAATATTTTATGATATTCAATCTGCTACTCAAGTTATTAACCAATCAATTGCTGACACTCAACAAATATATATTACTCCATTATTGAATTCATTACAAACTCATAACTCTCAAAACAAATGGAATATTTGGTCTTGGTGGAGTCAACCAAATCAAGAATTTACTGATGCGACAAAAATTCAACTAACACTAACATTGGGCAGTTGGGAATTTAAATTAAAATTAGGAGGAATAATGGAAGCGATATATCGAGCATTTCAGGATGGATCTATTTGTGCTAGTGGAGATGAAAATTTTTCAAAAACTATGACAAAAGCAAGAATAGAAAAAACAAAATATTTCATGAAATATAAAAGGTGCCAAGGTGGTTATCAAGGTAAAACCTTAGACCAAATTTTAACAATGGAAGAACGTGAAGGATCAATCCCTTCTGGGATTGAAAATATTATTGAAAATATTAAAGCAAATGGGTATACTACTGAAGGAATATTTAGATTATCTCCTAGTGAAAAAGATATTAAAGATGTTTATGATAGATTAGGTGTAATGGATTTCGAAGGATTAGATTACATTCTAATGGCTGCTGTATTAAAAAGATTCTTTAGAAGTCTTCCTGAAAAAGTGTTTGATCGAACCAATACTAATAAAGCCCTTTCTATAAACAAAATAAAAGCTTATAATATTGGTACATTAAAAAGTTTTATTAAAGGACTACCAAAGAATAATGTTATGATCATAAAACAATTATTTGGACTTTTATATAAAATTAATACTTATTCAGATACTAATAAAATGAATGCTCAAAACTTGGCTACTATATGGATACCTTGCTTATTTGAAATACCACAAGAAAATCCAGTAGTATTCTCTTGTAGACTTAATGAATTAAAGACATTTTTTGTTGCATTAATAGACAATTATTATGAACTATTTCCTGATTTTAGTGATAGAAAGTCATTAAGGTTATCTTCTTGCAGAAAATCTTATCACCAAAGAACACTCACTCGATCACAGTCAGAATGGGCTGCTAGTGCTGAGTCTGTTGATAAAAATATTAAATAATATTTAATTCCGTAATTTTCTTTAAATTCAATATCTAAATAAAAAAAAATAAAAAGTCGAAAATTAAACTTCAAAACGGAAGAAGTTTGGTGTGAAGAAGTGATTAATGTATCGAAGAGGAACAAAACAAAATAAAAAAAAAAGTTGTTGTAAAGGAAAGTCTAAACCAACAACACCTGAAAAACAGTCTTATCCCCCTGCTGAACCTTTTGATGATGAACACCATTCTGTAAGGACAATTACTTTTCAAAATGGAGAGGTGGTTGGTGATAGTTATGAACAAGAAACACCAGAAGATAATGACCTTTTTCTTGCCAGACAAGTCTTGAAAAATATTACTCATAATACTGTTAATACTATACAAGAAATGATAGATGATATTACTGTTCAAGAAAGAAAATTGATTAATTCGGTTATTCGGAATTATGAGAGTTTAATACGTGAACTAAAATTTTCTTTTGACTGTGACAGTGTTACTTTGGAACTACCATATGTAAGAAGAATTTATGGAGTTGATGACTTAATTGAAATAAAAAGAAAGCAAGAAGAAGAAATGACCCAGATAGTTAAAGACATTAATAGTCTTTTTGGTGATTGTGTAAAGAGATCTATTCACATTAATGAAATGAGAACTGAAATAATAAAATCACTTGGGAACTACAACAAAACCACAAAAATAATTCTTAATAAACTAGAACCAAAAAAATAACAAAAACAACAATAAGAATAAAACTATTTAATTGTATCTTTTTTTGTTATTTAATTAAAAAATTGATATATTAAAAAAAAAAGAAAAAAAAACTAGGGAAAAGGTTAATAAGAAATAAATTAAAAAGAATAATAAAACATTAAAAAAAGGAGAAAAAAATAAGTTAGGGTATAAAGGAGAATTAAGATTTCTTAGTGTGATGGCTACCCAAAAGAGTGAAGTCACTATCAGAACAAGAAATCTGATAGTTAATCCATTACTTTGCAGAAAGCAAGTAGTTGTTGATATTTATCATCCAGGAATTGTTCAACCAAAATTTACTGAAATTAAAGAAAAGCTTGCTAAAATGTACAAGGTAAAAGATGTTCAAACTATCGTTCTTAATGGGTTCGTCACTAAGTACGGAGGAGGAAAAACTTCAGGATTTGCATTGATTTATGACACACTTTCTGCTTTAAAGAAGTTTGTTCCAAAACATCAATTAATTAGAGCTGGTTTGGATAAGAAGACCAAAGCACCAAGAAAAGCTAGAAAGGAACATAAGAAGAAATGGAGAATGTGCCATTCATTCAAAGACTATAAGAAGAAAGAAATGAAGAAAGCATCTAGAAAGAAGAAGTAAGAGATAGTAATTGAATTGATGTGGTCAATAAATTTTTGATATAAAAACCAAATTTTCTTCTTTTTTCAAAAAAAAGAATCTAATAAAATTTTTTTTATTTAAAGGATTCCTCATTAAGATATAATATGAAGATAGTTTTTATTCCATCACTTATGAAAACTTAAAAATTGAAATAAAAAGATATAGAACTTAAAAAGAAAATATAATTATTGATGTGTGAATTTGCTGCACATTTTGTTCATGGGTTTTGTGATAAAGACAAAGACAAGTTAGTAAGAAAAGAAGATTTATTTCCTTTATTAATTCAGTTTTTACAAAGTGAGGATCCTCAATATAAAATTGGATTTGAGAATTATTTGTTTGATTTGTGTGATGTTGATGAAAACAAAGCGTTGGACATTACAGAGTTTCTTCATTTAATGAACTGTTTGGAAATCTTTGAAAGTCAAAAAGGTCAAAGTAAGAATCTTACAACAATGATGGCCTTATTTAGGGCAATTGATTCAGACGGAAATGCTTCTTTAAGTGCTGAAGAAATTACTAAAGCATTAGATAAATTACCTAACGATTCTTCAGTTAATGATGAAATTAAAGCTGCAGTTAAAAAAATTAAAGAATATTGTGGGTTATTAGGAGGGAGAGAAATTAATGAAATGGAATTTCTTGGAATTGTTATTCCACCAAGTGATTTTCAACAATATAACCAACAAGTGTTCTCTTCATTATTTGAAAAAGGTGATACAGATCACTCAGGTATGATTTCTGTTAAAGAGCTTAAAATGTTATTTAAACAAATGTATCCAGATGGTGTTGATGAACGAAAAGCACCTGAAATAATTATTAAATTATTAGATGAAACTGGAAAAGGTGAAATTGATAAAAATCAATTTGCAACATTTGCTTGTGCTGTTGCTGGAAATGATGTTACTATTAGATGCTTAACTAAAACTAGATTTTATGAAGCCATTTTTAAAATACTTGACTCTGATAAAAGTGGACTATTAGAAAGAGATGAAACTACTAAATTACTGAAGTCTATGGGATTTAATGAAAAGAAAATTGCAAAGTGGTTTGAAAAAATAGGAGAAGAACCATTGACTTTAAATAAATTCCTTGAAATTTATTTAAAGAAGTAATTCTTATGTTTTTGTCTTATTTACTTTTACGTAATTAATTTTTTATTTTAAACAACAAGGTACTGTCCAATATTAGAAGAGAAAAGTATTCAGTAATAAATCATAAAATAAATAATTTTCTTCAATTCTAATTTTCTAAGATTTTGACTCATTCTTTTTAAATCATAGAGTCTTAATAAAGTGCTTTTAATGTTTTTAAATAAAACACTCTCTTTGTAAATTTATTATAAAAGATTATATCCCTTCTTATAATTATATTTTTTTAGTACAAGTTTTCCTTATTTAAATGAAAATTGGTAAGGTTTATTACTTAAACGCTTATAAAATAAGAAAAAACATGTTTAAAAATAAATTTCAATTTCTATTTTATTATCAGTTTATTTTATTAAATAACAGTATTTATTTATAATAATTCTTTTAGGACTTTATTTCTTTTAAGCAGGATCCTTCTTAAGACTCTCTTTAATTCTATTAAAAATACTTATACATGAAAATTTAACTATTTCATATAAAAGAAGTTACTGAAGTAAATTTTGAAGTTCATTTAATTATTTTTTTATTCACTTAAAAATTTTATTTCTATAATAGATATAGTCCAACAAAAATAACTGGAGGTGCTAACACATTGATAGTTGTTGCAAATTGCTGCAATGTTATAATTTTACCTATTCAATTTACTTTACTTGTATTAGTTCCAGTAAATTAAAATCTGGATGTTAATGTTGTACAATTATAATACATCATATAAAATAAAAAAAATAACCTAATAATAAAACCAATAAATTAATATCTCAATAATGTGTAGTTGAATGGTTCGTTATTTTAGTTATGATATCATTGAATTTCATAGTTCAATATTAAAATGTTGATATTAGATGAGTGAAATAAGTTTCATTTTATTTTCTTTTTATAGCAAAAAATGTTTCACTTTTTGTTTGTTATTTAATTTCTATATTTATATTATCAATAACATTTTTTTCTATTTTTAATTCTATGATTCTGATTTCTATTTTTATTCTATTTTTATTCTATTTTTGTTTTATTTCTTTTTTGTTTTTCTTATTTTTTAAGATTTTCATTTTATTGAAAATAACAAATTCTATATTATAGAAATATTTTACTATTCATTTTTTTTCTTTTTGTTTTTTTTTTTGTTTATTCTTATTTTTTCTTTGAATTATCTTATATTATATTTATGTTCTTTATTATACATTTTAATTCTTTTTTTTTTATTTATTCACATTCTATTTTTCATATATTTTATTTTATTGTTCAGATTATTTGAGGTGAAATTGATAAGTGATAATGAAAGTAATACATTTTTATACTCTCATTTTTTATTGGTTATATATATCATATCATATTTTTATTTATAATCCAACAATTTATGTACATTATTCTTAATATTTTTATTTGATGTAATATCTTTATGTTGATAAGATATGTACTCTAGATTCAATTTGTTTTTATTCTATTTTATAAAAATAATTTATTTTTTAGTTTGAATAACAAAACAAAAATAAAAATCCATTGAATGAATTAATAAAGTATAATCTTTATGAATAATTGCCAAATAAATTATTATTCTCTCGAACTATAAGTATTGAGAATAAGAGAGTATTTAAAATTAAAAGAGTGTATGACTATTTTAAGATAATTAGTGATGGGGATATTTCTATATTTTATACGATGAGTAAAATACTTCTCTTCGTTCTAAATTTAGCAATTGTTTAAAAGTATAATAATAATTTATATGATTTATTTCTTTATTTCAAAAGAAATAATAGTAAGAATAATATTAAAGAAAGGAGGTTTCATAATGAATTTATTTTGAAGAAAGTGAAGAGTAAACTAAAATAATATAATAAATAACTTTACAACAATAGAATATAATTTTCATATTGGTATAATGAAATGATTATTATTTGTTGGTGATATTTTCTGAATTCATTTTTAATATTCATTGTTATTTGTCATGATGTAATTCTTTTAGAAATAACTCTATAAGAGAAATAAAGTATATTTAAAAGAATTAAATATTGCTTCTTAATACAAATAAAGAATGTGTGATATTTCTATTAAGTTTCATTCTTCATATTATCATTAAATACGATTATTAAATCAAGAATCTTATTCAATTACATATTTAAATTAATTATCTTAATTATTCAAATGATATCAAAATGTAATTAAATGAGTATAAATTTGGTTTATTTGATTGTTAAATATTAAATATTAAATTGAATTTAAGTGTAAAGCATGATAAATTGTTAATTATGCTGAATTGATAATATTTGACATGGTAGTTAATTGTATAATTAACATTTAATTTAAATATAAGATAATTATATGAAAAATACTTACTTTGTTTCAATTATCTTATGATTATTAGGAATGAAATTTACATTAAATAAAAGAAATTGAATTTATTGGCAATA